GGCTAAATATTATTTTGACTCTAATGAATTAGTGCTACTTAGCAGTTTATATTCACACATTTGAACTTAAAAATGTAAAATTACAGCTAATTTATATAAAAGAGATTCTTGCTCGTTCTTCTTGTGATGAATGAGCGGTACCTAGTTTACAAAAATAAGTGATGACTATTCAAAAGTGCTTCTATGTAATTTTATTTGAATAAATGATTTTATATTCTTCGTTTGTTCACTATCGTAATTTAAAACTTGAAATTTACATCTTTCAATGTGTGGGCTTTTAATAAAAAATAGGTATATTAAGTTATTTATATCAAGGTCGTTAATTTTCATAATTGATGCTCTCCGTGTAATTCTACGAATTGTGTCAAATATTCAACACGAAACTTCAAAAAGGAGGTTATGAAATCACTTCATACTTATTTTAGAACATATTATTGCCTATATACACGATATAGGCAATGCCCGACAGATATTGCGGGTTATATTGTAAAGTTTTTTATTGAATTAAACTCGGAAAATTGTCATGATGTCAGATATTTTTTATGGAATAAAAATATGGAATAAATTTCGTACGAAAAACGTAAAATCTTACTAATATTACAAACGCGAAAGTTTGTGAATACGGATGAATGTTTGTTACTATTTCACGTAAAAACTACTGAACGGATTTTGATAAAACTTTACAATATTATAGCTTATACCTAGATGTTGTTCTGATGTACAGAATAACATATAGGCTACAAATTTGACAGAGGTGAAACCGCGGGCACAACTAGTACACAATATAATATTCGTATCATTGTTTTTTTTATATTACGAAGGTAGCAAACAAACATACGGCCCATCGTAAACGGTTACCTTAGCCTACGGACGCCTGGAACACCAGGAATGCAAAGTGCGAGTTGCCGATCCAAAATATTTAAAAGTCCCCGGATTCCTTGAGTAAATTAAAAATAAACGATTATTAAACCATCATTTAACCTATATTTCTACTTAGGATGGGACAAGCCGCATTATTATAGTTAGTTAGGTAATAAGACTGTGCCGCTTCTATTTCAGCCGTCAAGCAGCTTGTTTTGTAAGCTGGGTTTCGGTTTTTTTTTTTTTATTCCCTTTTATTTGTTTCACCGTTTTTTTTTTTAATGTATATATTTTGATTTATTTTAAATCTTAGGCTCCCGCTGCGATTTGATACAGGGGAAGTCTTTAATAGAAGTTTTCACTGTAGGGATATATATTATATTATACATACTTTCATAATTACACATATATTATACATACAATATTAAAATATATATATATTAAAATATATAATAGATTTAATACTTAAATATAAAATTTAAGCTGGGTTTCGGTTGAAGGGTAAGTCATATTTGTGATGTTACAGAGTAAGGTATTTCATATCCTCTGGAATGGTATTGAGGAGTACATGAGGGGTATATATATTATCTTTCCACAGACATCACAATATGATATGATAAGTGCTCTTCACGTATGTAGCCGATAATTGTCAATTTCCACCATCAGCTTGTTTAGAAATACAGTTACATAGTTACAAAGTTATTATTTTTAAACACAGACAAACTAATACATACAAACTTTTATTATTATATATACAGTAATGTTGGTACAAGGTGCAGAAATACGAAGCGACATGTAGTTTGCAGTCTTGACGTTAACCTTTCAACCTTTGCTTTCATTGTATATTTTAAAGAATTAAGTGTTTAAAGACATTTTTATGTATTGGTAAATAATTTAAAAAACGTAAATTCAAGAAATTGACACAACTTTCTAAAGAAAGAGTACATTGGAAATAATTTTTAAACCATTCCTTCAGTCTAACAGTCACGTCATTAATTTAATATAAATTGTTCAAAAATAATTCTCTAAGTTTGACTTCATTTGTTGGTAAAAATATTATACATAGTTTTATAAGCATTCTACTTGAGTTCTAGCTTAGTAGGTATCCTTGATGACTAAACCTGTGTGTTCCTAAGATAGATAATTATTTTATTATTATATGTAAGGGAATTCAAGCGATAAAATAATATGTTTATATATATTTCATATTAAAGAATAGTTTTAAATACTTTACGAAAAATATATCAAATCTACGACTTTTTAAAATATATTTAAGGAAGATTTTACTTTATTAAAAATACATTACAATATATTAACTCTGGTATACAATTCAGTCTTTAATTAGTCATGTATAGAAATCTATAGTTATAAATCCTTATACTTACTATACAAAAATAGTTATTATGTTTACATAGGTGCGTTTAACTATTAAATAAAAGAAGACAAAAATTAAATTAACTTTAAAAATATATAATTTTTAAATATTATTAATATAAATAAATTATAACATTATTATTAAGGCTTACCTGAAGCTGACTTTATTCAGAGTTAATATACACTACTGTGGAAATTTATTCAACATTCTCTCAATTCACCGATACAAAACTCGCAATACTAACATGTATAATAAATATAAAGTCACATTTAAACTATATAAATTGAGTTTTCGCATGTTACAAGTGTGAGAATGGCCCGCACCTGGCCCAATACGGCGGATTGTAACGTGAGCGCCACTGTCGCGCGGCATTTAATGGAACTAATTACAACAAAATTTTAATGTAAGTACACGTTTTTCATTTTGATTTTTAATATAAACTAACATTTAAATATTGAAGTTTTAATAATAATTTCGGTGAATTTCTATTATACATTACATTAATAGATCTTCATTGAAAGCATTTCGCATGGCCGTTCGCTATAATCGATATTGTGACGTCAAAGGGCGAAACCTTAGAAATTCGGGAGGTTGCGTGTGAAAGAGATGTGTATATGTAATGAGAATTATTATTAAAACATGCTCAAAAATAAATTGATGCCACGTAAAATTGACGTGTACTATTCTAAATGGATATTGAATTATCCAGAAAGGGAATTAAATACTTGTTACAGAATGAAATTTTCTAAGCACATACAGTATCCAATGACAAATTAATAAAATTATATCTTATTAACGAATTACTAGTACTCTTCAATATTATCTTATCTGTGCTAGTACTAATAAAGAAGTCAGAAAATAATCAAATAATTGAAATATTTGGATTCTGCATTATACTTCTTACTTATAATATCTGTAACATTTCTATGTAATCGCTCAAATCATGTAATTTCATTTGTAAAATAGATTGCACTATACTTAAAGAATTTTTATAACTAGGAATACAGAAACAAATCAAATATTTACCAAAGTACATCACATACGACAAAACAATATTTAGTATTAAAACATTATTATTAATTCTGATAATACATTTATTCAAAAGGTCATGTATGTAACATGATATTTATATTTTTATTCAATGTATATATATGTATATTTCAGTAGATAACAAGTTACGACAGTTAAGAATTTTCCTGAATGTTGTTACATTAATTACTTCGAAATAAATTCCAAAAATATTTTTTAACTAGAGTGACATCTAGCGTATTATGTAGAAACTATTAAGTGTATAATGTTATTCCTGTTTTAGTACTCATCAATAGATGGCGCTAAACGCTTGCTAAAATTAGCCTTCTTTATTTTTCGAATTATACTAGACAATTAAATATTATGTTCGATGCTTATCGACTTTTAATATTAAAGGTGTTTCAATGAAATTATATAAATCGTCATACATTTTTGTTATTTTAAATTGTTTTACTAGTGCCATCTAGTGTATTACAATGAAACTATTAGAGGAATCCAAAATTCCATTCTTTTTGTTTAAATTAAGTACTATTCGCTAATAGATGGCGCTTAACACATTAACGAATTACATTATTTCTAATATTTCTTTGTTTAGCTATATTTGTTTTTAGTACATATAGTAATTACTGCTGAAATTACCGCTCTTGTAAAAAGTTAATATTGCATCTAACTTTTTTTACGAGCGGTATTTTCAGTCTATACAGTAATAAAGTATTAACAAAAATATAAGGCATGTTACTACTTTTGTAATTCTAATGAATGGATATTTCTGCATAATACTTTGCCTTTGAAATGGTGCCTTTTAGTTTAGTTTACAGAAACTATTAATTACTAACTGATCTGTGCAACTTTCTCTGCATTACACTTACTTTATATTTAGCCCAATTTACATAATATCTTTTTATAACGTTTTATTGTAATGTATAAGGTTTAATACTGTAAAGAAAGTTTGATAGAAATCTTCCCGGTAGTTTTTGTGTGAAAGTTTCACAAACATCTATTCATCCATTAATTTTCACAATTTTATCTGTGATATTAGTGACATCTTATCTTTATTATTATATGCTGCCAACTTCTCTAAATTCCTTCAAATAATTAATGTATCTAGTAATCAGCAGTGACTGTATTTTTTTCCTTGATATCTAGTGTATCTATTCACATATGAAGTAATTATTGCTATACCCTAATGCATGTAATTTTAATATTATATTTTTTCCAGGAATTTTATATTTTTTATTTCATTTTACACATAGTATTATTACATTTTTTTTTTAGGTATCATTGAAAGATAATAGTGGAATTATAATGAAGTAGAGACATCTAGTATATTTCAAACAAACTACTAAGTATTTATAATTTAATTTCATACTCTTAGTATCTACTACTCACTAATAGATGGCGCTGTAAGCTATGTATACAATTGGAGAAACAGTAAAACTGTTAACATGTTATTTACGTTGGAGAATGAATAAACAACTAGTACATGTTATTTTATTATTAAAAGTACTGAAATATAAATTAATTATGTATTGTTTTAGGTTTATTTTAAATATATGTGAATAGCGACATCTAGTTTATATCTTAGAAACTATTTACACTGTCAAGAAAGTACGTTACTTAATATCTTTACTACTCATTAATAGATGGCGCTGAATGTTACGATATTGCATATTTCCTATAAGTTTTCCCCAATGTCTTGTCAGATATTTATTACTCCATTGTAAAATAGCTATTGTGATACACGTAAAACATGTAACTTTACAGACTTTACTAGATTTTATGTTCAAAGTCGGTGACTTCGCTCTGTACAATGAAAAAGAAAGAGATGCGTTACTTAAGGATACGTATTATTGACACAAGTCATCTGTATTCCAAACCTATGTTTTTACCGCGAGTGCCTTTTCTTCAGTGATATGCATTGATATTTCTCCTATAATTTTTATAAAACTTACTAGTTTCTTCATTACTCAAAAGTGAATAAGTATCTAGTTGCCTTTAATGCTAATTTTCATTCAAACTCAGTGCTATCTATGAGTTGATACTCTATTGTTGGTTGTATTGATTTATGCCATTGCAAGTTTTCGAGTATAAAATACCTAATAGGTAAGTGTTTATTTAGATAAGATGTTAAAATCATTTTTAGATATTGTACCGCATTTAGAATTGACTAAAAAATATTATGTATTGACTTTTTATGCCTAACTAGATACTATAGATATATGTACTTAATTGCTGTAAAAGGGTATCTAGTTTTATTAATAAATACATATTGCAGTAAAAACAGATGCATGATGAAGTAGACTTGTCAATACTTCAATTAAAAATAACACAACAATAGTAAGCAAGACAACTTATTATTATTTTAGTTGGCGTAGGTATATAGGTATGTTGATAATTACACAAATATAATACAGTAGTATGTAACTGCATTTGTAAATAGTGAATTTAAACATTTGTGCCTATTACTATTACTATTTAATCACTTTTAAGCCCATTCCGGTGTACATTCGTACGCCTCATTTTGATTTATTTACAGAAGTGTATGCAAATAACTTTTAGGGTATTTTTTTATTGACGTATTTCCACTCATTACGACCTACTTTAATTTTAGTCGTACTCTCCTTCTATATGTTTTCTTGCATTATCGATAAGACCGCCTTTTCTACAAGGTACCTACTTAATTTTATTTTCACTCTTTTCTTATATCTCCTTTTAATCATCATCATCATCATCTCAGCCCGGAAGACATCCACTGTTGGACATAGGCCTCCTCCAAAGATCTCCACGACGATCAATCCTGCGCTGGTCGCATCCATCGCCTTACAGCGATCTTGACCAGATCATCGGTCCACCTTGCTGGAGGTCTTCCCATGCTGCGTCTTCCGGTCTGTGGTCGTCACTCGAGGACTTTATTGCCCCAACGGTCATCTGTCCTACGAGCTATGTGCTCTGCCTATTGCCAGATCAGTGTCGCAACTCGCAATTCTTCGGGCTATGCCGGTTACTCTGGTTCTTCTGCGGATCTCCTCATTTCTGATTCGATCACGCAGAGAAACTCCGAGCATAGCCCTCTCCATTACCCACTGAGTGAATCTGAGCTTGTTCATGAGGCTCATAGTTAGCGACCACGTCTCTTTGCCGTAAATCATCACTGGCAACAAACATTGGTCGTAAACCTACGTCTTGAGATACTGCGGTAATTTGGATGAAAAGATATATCGGAGCTTCCCGGACGCTGCCCATCCGAGTTGGATTCGACGATTGACCTCTTTCTCTCTCTTCTTTTAATGTTAATTATAAATTCTACTTGAATTAGTCAATAAAGATCAAATCTAATCAAATAATAACTAATTTGTTAATTTTAGACATTTTAGCCGCTTAGAACGTCATTTAAAAAATACTTTAAATAATGCTTAAAAACAAAAAGAGATATAGATTTTCTTCCCTATAAGTATACGTGCATTGTATATATTTCGTTGCATGCCTATGTAAATAGATATTTACCTATATGTACTACGTATTTATAATGTAACTTGGTGACCGTGGAACATTTTTATGGATATAATTTATTTACATAGGTAGCTATTTGTGTTTCATTCATTTTTCCTTCACCGTAAGGAAATATAACGCTATTATTCCTACTTCTATTTATATCTAACTGAAGTTCCACCGTCGCGTGTAATTATCTCGTGAGTTAAATGACTAGTATGTACATATACTTATGTATACTGGACCTTGATAGGTTTGATTTTAAATTATATTTTAAACAAAGGTTTCAAATGTACTATTTCCGAAATAGTTATTAGGTATATTGATAAACATACTGACGGCCCACCTAATGGAAAATATTAACATCAAAAATTTTTTAATGGTGCTCCACTCCTGTTGGGTGTAGCGTGATGTCTAGTTCCATGATTGAGCTATCCAACACTAAAAACATTTCAATTCGATCGAGTAACCAGTTGCTGAATTTAGCGCTTTCAACCAAACAAACGAACTCTTGAGTTTTATATATGTTTTATATATGTATTATATATATAAAAACTTCCTCTTGAATCACTGAATGAAAAGCCCCTTCAAAATCCGTTGCGTAGTTTTAAAGATTTAAGAATACATAGGGAATTAGGGACGGACAGACAGCGACATACAGGACTTTTTTTTATACTGTGTAATGCTATATAAAAATCTGTGGCACCAAACACGAGATTTTCGTGTCCTTTTGTGGAAGACGTCCACCGTTGAACAAAGGCCTCCCATAAAATCTACGACGATCGGTCCTGCGCTGCTTGCAACCTTGAGATTAGATTCTCCAAATGGTGCTATAGTTCCCGAATTTACTTTATCAGAGATTCTTTTTCATAGTTAAAAATGAATAAATTTAATTATTATGTACTTTTTGTCCACAGATACTTAAAATGAAGACCCGGCTGACATCTGTGACATACTTGGGCTATACGGCAATGGACAGGCGCTTCTCCAACGCCATGCTTCCATGGTTACTACGGGAAATTCGAACTACTGGCATTGGAGATAAGGTATAAATTTCACACCACAGAGTTCGTCATCCTTTACCTGGACTAAATTAAACCGAAGAGATCATTTGATAAATGGCCGAAACAAAAAAAACTAGCACAATTTGTATTTCTGACTGACTTCAGTAGAGACTGAAGGATTACATCGATATTGTCAGAAATATAATTGTATAAGTTTTTTTTATGTTGGCCGGATTTTATCACATGATCTTTTAGATTTAATTTATAGTATTCTAAATATTCCACTACTAGAGTCTGTTCTAAATCTGCCTGAAATAAGGTCCAAATGTCGTATAAAATACTTTATCTGTAAAAATGCTTATTATAAAATTTAAGAGTTCGTAAATGATAAAAATATTTTTGTAGAGAAAACTTAAAATTCATAGCGATGACAATATTGTCTGATTGCACTAAGAATGAGTGCGTAGCGGTTTCTATTTTGATTATCACATACCTCTTGCTTGTTACTTTATTTAAAATAACATTTATTCAAAAGAGCTACTACACATAAGTTTCTTGCTCATTCTTCTCGTGATGAGTCTGCGTTCCGAATGAATGGTAGAATAAAAAAATATGACTATTCAAAATTGCTTGTATTGAGTTTATTTGAATAAAGATTATTTCTATTTCTATTCCGAGCGAAAATGTCAAGTTTTACGTTCATCGGCAGTTGGCAATACTTCTGACTAATCTATCTGGGATTCGCAAGGGTATGTTTTATTAGAGTTTTTTGTACACTGATGACATCCTGTTTCCTTTTGTTTCAGTTAAGCATAGCAATAGAAGATGGGTGCTTGAAAGCGTACAATGGCAATTTCGAGCCCGTTATAGTTCATAGATTAGTAGATATTTTAAGGTGAGTAATTAAAGTTAAATTAAAATATTCTGTGTACGTAGTGGTCGTTTAGGGTATTACGTAAGCACTATTCTTTGCTTTGATTATTTCGGATGACATGGGGGGTAGAGGAGTCTACATGATGATTATGTCATAGGTAGTTATTTACTTTTTTATACGAATGGCAACTCTCATATTGTCTTTGCTAAAAGAACAAAACATTAATTGAAAAATGTTTACGTAAGCATGGGGGAGGGGGTGGGGGGAGGGTAAATAATGGTAATATGCTTATATGCTTACGTAATACTTGAACGGCACCATATCATGTTACCATCCTTATCCAACCATCTAGATGAGTGGCGTTATTGCGATTTTTTCAGAAACTTTTTGCCACACATTGTGAAAAACCCTTCCAGCAATGGTTTTTCCGAACCGATACGATATTGAAACCTTTCCTTCTTAAAAGGCAAAGCAATTACCCTGGTGTTGCGGGTGATCATGGGCGGCGGTAGTTACTTACCATCAGCTGAACCGCAAGCTCGTTCCCTAAATTATAAAAAAAATGTGGTTTATAATCGAAGTTGACTGTAAAAACTCGTCTCCATGCGACTGAGGTCACCAGGGACCAGTCTCACTTATTTTAGTTGCCAAGCAGCCAGCTTTGGAAGCTGTCATTCGTTCTACCTACAGGTATACAACCTGTAGGCATTAGGCAGTGAAATTCCAGGATAAGAGGCGTAACGACATCATCCTTTACAATGACATCGCATGGGCAGTATCACGGGTGTTATATGCCACGTGATGACGTGATAGTAGTGTTGTTTATGCATATAGCCGACGGTCACCTACCATCAGTGGTTCGTTAGTTTAATTGTCATTAAATTACATAAAAACAATTTAAAAAACTGTGATATTACTTGTCCAGAGCGAGCCAAGTACCTGGTCGGCCGGAGGAGCTGTTCTACATACTGCTGAACGAGAAGGAAGGACTCCTCAACTGCTATTTATATAAGGCGGCCACTGTACACGAGGTGAGATTATTTTTATTTAGTACTAGCTGTACCCGCGACTTCGTTTGCGAGGAATTTAACTTTATTTTTCTAAAATAAAAGTAGCCTAAGTTATTCCTTATTACATCATCTGCCTGCCAATAAAGTCCCGTCAAAATCGGTCCAGCCATTTCAGAGATTAGTGAAACAGTCAGACAAACTATAATTAAATTTTTTTTATGTATGTAAATTGGAGTGTCTTTTTGTAATATTGAAATAACCGTTTTATACTACTAAATCTCTGAAATAGCTGGACCGATTTTGACGGGATTTTTATTGGTAGGCAGGTGATGTAATAAGGAGTGACTTTAGCCTAAGTTTAAGACTTTTATTTTAGAACAATAAAGTTAAATTCCACGCGGACGAAGTCGCGGGAACAGCTAGTATAATGAATAGTCAATGGTTACCACTTACCATCGGTGGACCGTTCTTGTTTGACATTCCGGTTGCATAAAAACCTAATAACAGACAGTTTCATAATATTTACTTGGCTGTTAGTTTCCGAGTTATCTCAGCACAGACAGATCGTTACACATATTGCGTAAGCGCAGTCACACACCTTCCGGATTTTATTTTTTTGTACTAGTCGTTTACCCTGGTTTTGTCTGTACTGTGGGGCGGGCACAGAGATGGTAATTATATATATATATACATAGATAGAGCCAAGTAATTGTTCTGGCTGGTGAATAGATTGTTCTTTTTTTTTGTTATTTATTACAGGTACGATGGGTTTGTCATCGTAACATATAGTGTAAAAAAAAACAAAAGTAACAAATACGTTATATTCTAAATACACACTTAGGTAAGATGTCACTATACGTATTTCCATGGCGCCGTTTATGTATGTAGGTGACGGTGTTTGCTTTCCATTAGGTGGACCGTCTGTTATTCTAAAATAAAGTCGTAGTAGCTTAGATCTTATGAACTACGCATCTGATCTTAATGTAGTCTCCAGGACAAAAAGGTTGATAGTCACAGAACAAAAATATACTAATTACTCTACTCTGTTGTCTGCGGATAGAGTGATATAAGAGACAGTTTTATATGTATAATACATACATGTACACCCGTGCGAAGCCGGGACAGGCAGCCAGTCATTACATAGTAAAAAATAAAGTCGCTGTCGTTGTCTGTCCCTATATGTACGAGTATGCTTAAATCTTTAAAACTACGCAACGGATTTTGAAACAGTTTTATTTTAATAGAGTGATTCTAGAGGAAGGTTTATATGTATAATACATGTACACCCAAAAGAAAATTAACTTTATGCTTTGAAAATTGAATGAATGCGTTAAATAATACATATATACAAACATACGGGATGAGATAAAGCGGCCGTCGAAGACGGTAATGTAATTTAAAAACAAAGAACTATGTAACCTCTTTGGTAAAATGTAATTATTTACTTAAAAAAAGAAATTAGGAGTGGATTTGAATATGTGATTCATTACTCGTTTATTGGAGCGAAAATACAATCCCTTTCGGCCAGAACAATATGTTAATACAAACTGCGGCCTATAGCCAATATTTTTACTTGTTCTTTGGGTTCGCGTTATTTGAAATTACTGTTATTTTGTTGTGATTCATATTAGGAATGTTATGGATATGAAATTTCAGATACGGATAGGTTTCAGATATAGGAATGATTATTATAACGGATACGGATGCGGATATGAAATTATTTCGGATCATCCGTTAGTTTAGGATATTATTTTTTTAAGGAATTTCAAAAGTAAAATACAAATAGCTGATGAAATAGTTACATAACGTGTCTCAAATAGGTTTCGCCCCTATCCGATATCATACGAAACTTTTATTTCGGGTTCGCTTACGGTTACAAAAATTTGTTATATCGGGTATCCGATAGTTTTGGAGCTCCCTGATTTATATATAAAAAATATTTTTAATCTGGTAATTTACTTGTAGGTTTTTTTTAAATTTTGTACAAACAATAAAAAAACTTCGAATTATTATTCTAACTAAGCTAAATTTATACCTAAAATATCTAAATTCAAATAATAGACACAGCAGATCTATAGTTGTATGACATTTTTTATTCTACGTTATCATAAAGGTTATGATATAATGCAACTGATTGACATTGATGTCTAACCTTCATTGGGCACCAAATTAGAATCAAATCGTTACCTATACACAGACAGTCATTAATAGTCATTAGACCATTAAACACATCATAATTATTAAATAAATAAGTGATAACTTTATGTACAACCACATTAGTTATATATAAAAAGTGATGTTTAAAGTTATTTATGACAGTTACATCTTTCGTGCCATTTTTCTTCGATATCGTTTTTAGTGTGTCAACAAAAACCTGTAATTTCACGGAAAGTCCAAAGGTGCCTCGTCCTAAATAGGAAAACATTCCCCACAATTATAAACAAGTAATACCAGTGCCAAAAAGCAATATCTATTAAAACAAGATGCTAAATTCAGTATGCACGCCGCTGTCGCGTCAAGCAGTCGTGTATTCTGTATCTTTGTCAAACCTGGAATTTTGGTTTGGCGTATTCCTAATTTTATTTGCTTGCGAACTGGACTTACTCTACTTTCACATATGGAATCGAATTCATTTTGAAATAGTTTAAAAATATAACCTATAAACACGAATTCGAAATTCAAACTATAATTTATCATTAAACACAGAGTGTTTTGAAAATAGAAACTGTTTGCTGCCAACTCGCGTGGAAACCGCGTTTCGATACGTTGTAAACAGAAAACATATGATTCGATTCATCGATTATTATAATCGTAATTGATTACAGCAGTGGAAAGTAACATTATTTATATTCGATTAAAAAATTGATCGAGTGGTATGCAGTTAATGTATTTATAATGGATTGACGTAATAATTATTTTGTTTTATTTTATGTAATAGACAATTGTTTATACAATGGGTGTTCTGTGCGCGTGTGAACAACAACTTTTTGTTGAATACAATCTGCTAATTTAATTTTTACATGTGAGTATTATATCCAATTATTTCATTACCTACGTAACAAAAAAGTATAAATAAATGTTTTAAAACTTTTAATATTAGATTGTAGATACCTACAGATATATAGTTTTAGGTAATTATTTTAAAACCAGAAACAATCCTTGAGTAGTACTTAAAAAAAATCTGACGCTTCTATATACATACGTACATAGACGCGTCAGATTTTTTATATATTATGATATATTGGTATGTATGTTAGAGTGACTCTTTCTGATTTGGTCTCAATTATAATATACTATTTATGTATATAATATACGGATGTATAGTATCTACATAACCAAAATATCTAAATGAGAGCGAAGACCATACTAGTTGTAAATCTTTTGCATGGTTTAAAAGTCAGCGGAAAAATAGACAATGTTACGTTTCTAGACTACATTTACTACATTATTGCCCAGTGGTTTGCATCCCTGACTCAGGTCCCAGTCTTAGGTTCAAATTTCGACATATTGTGTAAAAACTTATAATTTTTTTTATTATTAAACTTTTCAATTATTTTTAAATAAACCACCTACAACAACCTACATAAATATAATCAGTCAATATAGGATTTAAAGTACCCAGCAATATAACACCCTAGGAATATAACTCGATGGTTTCCAGGGGGACCCCGTGGAGATCAACCTAACATGGTACATTGCTAGCTATCAGTCCACATTAATAACAATCCCCTTTCATCTCTACGTGAGGTGATAACATTTTGTTTATGGATAATATTGGAATGTGCACCCGTTTGCCGGGGTCCCAGTGGAGGATGATAAGATGAACATCAGGTCAACTCAGCTAGACCATCGTTGCAAATTCACCAGGAATTTAACATGGTTTCCAGGGGAAACAGTGTGGTGGTCAACCTGATATGATACATTGCTAGCAGTTCCCTTTCCCCCCTAGGTGAGGTGATAACATTGTATTTTCTAATTCGACCTTGTCATTTATAGAAAGGAAATTTATTCGTAAAATTATATTGGATCACATCCAAAGCATTTGGCCAATGAACTATCTCTTCATAATCGTGGTTATTATATTATTATGATCTGTATCGAAGAGTAACATAGTTTTTTTATGGATGATGATGGAATAATGGTCCCGGCAGCAGTAATGATATACGCTGGCGGGGCGCCAGTGGAAGATGATAAGATGAGAATGAACTCAGATCAGTTCAGTTACGAATCGTGGTCAATACACCAGAAACTTAGCATCTCAGTCCGAACATTCCAAATACAAAATTATTTAATAATTCATAGCGATGATCACATAGCTGATTGTATAAAGATTGAGTGCTTAGCGATTTCTATGTTGATTGTCAATTGTCACACGCCTAATTTTTGTTATTGTGCATTTACTTAGAACAACATTTGTTTAAAAGAGCAACACGCTAGGTTTTGCTCGTTTTTTGTGATGAATCTAAGTTCTGAATGTGTGGTAGAGTATAAAAAAATGTGATTATTCAAAAGTGTTTATATATTTGAATAAAGATTATTTCTATTTATTTGGGTAACACAATTTTTTCTCCTCCTTAATCATAAATCCTCTTTTCTCTCCTTTTTCCTTCCTCCTTCCTTTTTCACCTGTGGCCAACAGCATTAGAGCGTCACGACTACTATCGCGGTTGAGGTAGTCAGAAGAAAGATTGTTTTTGATGTGTACTAAAGGTCCCATTACACTAGCAATGTACCTTGTCAGCTTGACCTCCACGCGGTTCCCCCTGGAAACCATCGTGATAAATTCCAGGTGAATTTGTCACGATAGGCTAACTGACCTGACTTCATGTTCATCTTATCATCCTCCACTGGTGCCCCGCCAGCGTAAACCTTTAGCGCAGACGGGTGCATCATTCCATTATCATCCATAAAAAAAAATGCTTTACATGCCCATTGCATTTACACTCACTTTGCTGTATATATTTGGATACAACGTGGTAGGGAGCTAGGACCATGTCTTAAAGAAAGTATATAACATGAAC